TGCCGCTGTTTCTTTTCCTGGTGGGGGTGATGTAGACATCTTCTGACTCGGCGTTTAGACATTGGACGGAAGGGGAGGGGAGGGAGGGGAGGGTCTGGCTCAGCACCTCTGCTTAACGTGACTGTTTGCAACACCGCGTCCTACGGGGCAGACCCCGACTGCCTGGAACAGGCGCCAACAACGGCCAAGGTCCACTCCACAGAGGGGGGAGGTGTTGTGAGGGGCCCGCGCCGATCGGCAAAACAATGAATGAGGAAGCGATCGCCGTGCCAAAACGTCCCCAGACTATTTGTTGACTTTTCTTTGACTATGTTCAGAGGGACAGGCTCGCCTTATCGCTAAGGGCCACAACATACAAAGGCAGTGGCGCTGGCCAGTGCTGACCAGCGCGCGGCCCCACACCTCAACGCACAGACGAGCGACGAGCAAAGAGCGACGATGACGACGACGACGACGACGACGACGACGACGACGACGACGACGACGACGACGACAGCGACAGCTACGACGACGACAGCGACGGCTGCGAACGACAAAGACGACAAATGCACGAGAGCGAGGAGAGACGAAACGACCGGCGGAAACGAAAATTATATAGGAACGTTGTCTTGTTCGGCGTCTCGGCATTGGGCGGAAAGGGGGGGGGGGGACACGGGGGGAAGGGGGAGGGGGGGTCTTGCTCCGGACCTCTGCTTCACGCGGCTGTTTGCAGCGGTGCGTCCCATGGGGGAGGGACTCCACCTGCTCGACAACGGGTGCCAGAATCAGCCAAATTCCACTCCATGGGGGGGGAGGGGAGGCGCGAGGGCCCGCACCGATCGGCAAAATAATGAATGAGAAAACGAAGGCGGAGGAGCCCGTGTTTGAGTGGCTGCAAAAACCCGGGAAACAATGCAACGCCAAGGTCGTCCTCCAACTGCGACCTCTTCACGCCTTTGAAAGCCAGCGACAGCTTGCCGCCCTCGACCGCGCCGCCGTTGTCCTCGCGCGTTCGCGCCAAAGGGGAGCGGTGGCAAAGCTCCCATGCAAACTCCGCCCCGTCCCCCACACCCCGCCCACTCACACCACACCACTGCCGCCCCAACCTCCTCCAGTCCATCCGCCCAGTCCTCCCCCTCCTGCGAGTCCTCCTCCTGCTTCCTGGCCCTCCTCAATGTTCCTGGAATTCGTGGTCCTCCTCCTCCTCCTCCTCCTTCTCCTGTCCGTAGCCGCTTTGGCTCAAGAGGCGTTCCGAACGGCAGGCTGTCTGCGGGTCAATTAGACTTACGCCCTGCCATGTTTCTTCTAAGTTCGCCGTGCACCTCAGTGGAGGTGCATGGAGGAGGAGGAGGATGAGGAGGAGGAGGAGGATGAGGAGGAGGAGGGGGAGGAGGGGGAGGGGGAGGAGGAGGAGGAGGAGGAGGAGGAGGAGGAGAAGGAGGAGGAGGTGGCGAAGGAGGGGAAGGAGGACGAGGAGGAGGAGGAGGAGGAGGAGCAGCAGCAGCATCAGCAGCAGGATCCTCGCGGATACGACCAGCCTGGGCGGCCTGCCCCCTCGCGCGAGGGGCGGCGGGGAGGGCCTGAGCCAGGGGGGGGAACTGCACACACACACGCACACACACACACACACACACACACACACGCCACGGCTTCGGGCTGCGGGCCCCGTCCCTGGGCAGCCGACGTGGGGAACGTTTGTCGGCGGCGCGCACAAGGGGGTGGAAGGAGAGGGGAGGGCTTCTTGGAGGGAGGCTGCTTCTTAGAAGGCGCCGGCCTTCTGAGAAGCAGGGGTGCTTCCAAGAAGCCCTCCCCTCTCCCCCCACACCCTCTGCGAGTGGCTGAGTTTTCTGATTCGAGGTCTGGACATTGGGCGGGAGGGGAGGGGAGGGGGGGGGGGTCTGGCTCCGGACCTCTGCTTGAGGCGACTGTTTGCAACTGTGCGTCCTGTGGAGGAGGGACTCCGCCTGCCCGGAACAGGCGCCAAGAGCAGCCAGGATCCACTCCACGGGGGGGGAGCGGGGGGTGCGAGGGCCCGCGCCGATCGGCAAAACAAAAAATAAGAACACGATCACTTGGGCAGGCGATGAGGGGGCTGGTCCAGCGGCCAGCAGCGTGAGGGGGGTGGCTCGCGAGGAGGCGGGGTCCTCGCCCTTGGCCCTTGGCGCGCTAAGCGTGGATTGGGACATGGCCACCCTTCGCGGCGGCAGCCAACGTGGAGAGGCAGAATTCATCCTCCTGCTCCTGCTCCTCCTCCTCCTCCTCCTCCTCCTCCCGTCCTCCCTCATTGTGTTTACCTTTACGCGTGGTGCAACATGCATCGCATGAGTGATATGCCAAGTCCAGCACCAGGGGAGGCGTCATCGACACCGCGCGCCGCCGACAGCGTGACATTACAACCCAAGCCTGTTGACGGGGCTCAGAGGGACCTCCCTCGACCGAACTCCGCCGCCCTCCTCCTCCCCGCCGGCCTGCACATTATCTTACCCCCCCTCACCTCCGTCTCCCCTCATTGTTTCTCTTCCAGCTGAACAAAAAAAACATCTGACCCCCTTCCCTGGCGCGCGGAGCGCATCAGGGGCGGCGCCGGAGGCGCCGCCAGGGGGCCCCAGCGCGGATCCAAGAAATCTGCGCGGAGCGCCGACAATGTATGTTTATGGCGTCTCCTCTTCGATTCCGTTCCTCGTCCTATTGTGCCTCGCCGTAGTCACACTCGGCCCTGCCCCTTCCTCGCTCCCGCCCCCATCCCGTGAAGGGAGGCGAGAAGGGAGCAGGGGCACGACACAGAGGCAGGGGGGAGGAGGAGAGGCCACAGGGCGGCCGAGCGAGGCCGACCTCCGCGGGGGGCCGCGCCAAAGCGCTGGCAGGATCGGACATCGTTGGGACCCAGAGATCCAACGCACTGAGAAATCAAAAGTCTAATTTATTCTACATTTTTAAAAAATTGTTCAATACGTCGGCAAAAACTGAAGTTGCGACAAACCTCCGTTTGGGAATCGGAAGTGTTTTGCAATGTTCGGCCTCTGGGGGCCCTCCATGGGCCCCGGGACCGTCAAAACACGACCCCGGATGAAACACTGGTCCTGGGGAAGGGGGCGAGACCTTCGGGACCGCGACCTGAGGAGGAGGAGGAGGAAGAGGAGGATGAGGAGGAGGAGGAGGAGGAGGAGGAGGAGCAGGAGGAGGAGATTGAGAAGGAGGAAAGGGAGCGGAGGAGGACGAGGGCGGAGGAGGGCGGAGGGCGGAGGAGGGCGGAGGAGGGCGGAGGAGAGGCGGAGGAGGGCGAGGAGGAGGAGGGAGGAGGAGGAGGACGGAGGAGGAGGAGGAGGAGGAGGAGGGAAGGAGGAGGAGGAAGAAGAGGAGGGGGAGGAGGGCGGAGGAGGGCGGAGGAGGAGGAGGAGGAACAATGACGACGTCGGATCTCTGGGAAGACCGCGCGCCTCGAGAATATGTCTTCGGGAGGGGGGCGCGAGCTCGGCTCGCCGCGCCAGCTCCCCGCCAGGAAGCGCCACGGAAACTCAACGTGGCGCTGCTCCTCCTCCTCCTCCTCCTCTCCTCCTCCCTCCTCCTCCTCCTCCTTCCGCCCTCCTCCTCGTCCTCCTCCTCTTTCTCCTCCGCCCTCCTCCTCCTCCCCCTCCTCCTCTCCACCTCCTCCTCCTCCGCCTCCTCCGCCCTCCTCCTCCTCTTCTTTGTATGTTTCTTCTTCTTCTTCTTCTTCTTCTTCTTCTTCTTCTTCTTCCTGGTATGATTATGATGTGTGAAATTAGTATTCGTCTTCTTCGTTATATTATTATTCGTCTTATAATTATGTAGTTTAAGTAATCATCCTCCTCCTCCTCCTCCGCCCTCCTCCTCCTCCTCCTCCTCCTCCTCCTCTTCGTCGTCTTCTCATTATTCGCATTCTTATTGTTATTCGTATTGATATTCGTATTCTTCATACTAGTATTAGTAGTCGTCTTCTTCCTATTCTTCTTATCATGCATGTTCTTATTCGTATTAGTGTTGTTGGTCTTCTTATCAGTCGTAAGATTATCCCTCTTAGTATCATCGGTCTGCTTCGTATGATTATTCGTATTAGCAGTGCTCTTCTTAGTCGTTATATTATTCGTAATCGTCTTGTTATTATTCGTATTATTATTCGTCGTATGCTTTTCTTATTCTTGATGTTTGTCGTCTTCTTCGTTTTCTTCACGTTATTCTTCTTCGCCTGCGTATTATTATTATTATTAGGATTCGTATTATTATTCTTCATAATATTCGTCATACTAACATTAGTATTCTTAGTGTTCGTCTTATTGTTCTTCCTCCTCCTCCTCCTCCTCCTCCGCCTCCTCCTCCTCCTCCTCCTCCTCCTCGTCCTCCTCCTCCCTCCTCCCCCTCCTCCTCCTCCTCCTCCTCCTCCTCCTCCTCCGCCCTCCTCCTCCGCCTCCTCCGCCTCGCCTCCGCCTCCGCCTCCGCCTCCTCCCCCTCCTCCTCCGCCTCCTCCTCCTCCGCTCCGCCTCCGCCCTCCGCCTCCCCCCTCCTCCTCCGCCTCCTCCTCCGCTCCTCCTCCTCCTCCTCCTCCTCCGCCTCCTCCTCCTCCTTTTCCTCCTCCTCCTTCGCCTCCTCCTCCTCTGTGAAACAAATAGTGTCAGTGCTGATCTGTAAGCAGTGTAGCATAGCGTGCCAGCAAGCAAGCAAAATGTGCTAATATTCAGACGGAAGGTGACATGTCCTTTCGTAACCATTTGGGCTCAATCCTTTTCAGGGCCCTTGAGCTTGGGCGTATCGGTAGGCACCTTTGCAGGTTCCGCTGAGCAACAAACCATCGCCTATCATTGCTGATACATTTACGTCATTGCTGACAACGACAACCTCGTGGTTATCATCGCACCTAGACCCCTCATCGCAATATCGGGTCTGCATTGGTAGCAGGAGCTAACTCGACCACGGCAGCTACGTGCGCGACTTCGCAGAGTCATTTGGCAAGCACTACAGGCTCGTGACTTGGATTGCGACTGTACCTCTCATTCGAGGTCGCCACCATGGCGACGGCAGGAGGAGCCGCTGCAGCCAGCGGCGAGGACAAGAGCAACGGGGGCAAGATCCCAGCACCCGTCTTCGATGGCACGAGCAAGACCATGAAGAAGTACCGCCGAGAGGTCGCCACCTGGCAGATCGGGACCGAGCCCAAGCCGCCCAAGCAGGGAGCGACCTTGCTGGCCAGCCTGAAGGGCAAGGCCGAGGAGGCGTGCGAGGAGCTCGAACTCGACTCCATCAAGGGCGACGACTCGGTGGAGGCGTTCCTGGAGTACCTCGGGAAGCGCTTTCCCGAGATCGAGGTGCTGGAGACTCCAGCGCTGCTGGAGACCTTCGTGCGCCCAGCCTGCGTCCGGCACAAGTACGAGGAGATCCGCGACTACAACAACCGCTTCAACGGGATCGCCACCAAGCTGAAGGCCAAGGGCATCCAGGTGCCCGACGAGGTCCTGGCGGACCTGTACATCAAGGGGGCCCGCCTGCCCCCGGAGCGCGCGGCGAGCGTGCTCAACGGTGTGGGCAAAAAGTTTAACCCCACTAAGATCCAGGAGCAAGTGATGATCAACTTGCCCAAGGTATCGGTCGTGGACGGCCACAAGGACAGCCACGACAAAGGAGGCTACGGAGGTCACAAGCACAAGGACCACAAGAGGGCGTACGCCACGGAGACCTACGAGGAGGATCGCAGGGCCGAGTTCGACGGCGCGTCCTCAGACAGCTCCGACGACTACGAGGACGAGCTGCCCGACGAGCTGCAGGACGCGATCGACGAGGCGGAGGGGCAGGTAGCCTTCTTCACCAAGAAGACGGTGCGCGCCAAGGACAAGCTGAAGGAGGCAAAGCAGGCGCGCGGCTACTTCGCCAAGCGCGACGGCGGCAACCCGCCGAAGAGAGACGATCCCAAGATCGCCAAGATGAAGGCAAGGACACACTGCGGCGCATGTGGCCGGAAGGGCCATCGGCGCAGTGACCCGCAGTGCCCGAAGAAGAACGACCCGAACGCCAAGGTCGACATCCCGAGGAAGGGAAGCAACAGGACGACCATCGCCACGAACGAGACCAGCGACGCGCAGGAGCCTCACGTGGCGGAGATGACGGTCGCGGCGGTCTACCAGCAGGACCAGCGGTCCGCGGCTCGCGACAAGAAGTACGGCGCGCTGCGCAGCATCGACTGGACGCAGATGCGCCAGGCCGCCGGGCTACCCGAAGAAGTTACGGCAGCGGCGTTCTTCATCAATAAGGACCACCAGTGCCTGATGGCCGCGACGAGCTCGGCGCTTATCTACCTCAACGTCGAGGACCTGCTGAAAGAGTCGGGGGGCAAACTGACCATCGACACGGCCTGTACGCGGTGCGTCGGCGGCCTCGACTGGTACAGCGACATCAAGAAGAGGCTGGCCGCCTTCAACATCCAGCCCATCGAGTACCCCGAGAAGGAGCCGTTCCGATTCGGGGCGTCCAAGGTGGTGTTCAGCCTCAAGGCGGCGCTGATCCCCTGTTCGGTGAACGGCAAGGCCTTCCACCGTCCGGATGAGCATCGTGCGCAGCGCCGTGCCAGGCCTGTTCAGCCGCAAGGCCCAGAGCGAGCTGGACACAGTCTACCACGCCGGAGACAACAAGCTGGACATCAAATCGATCGACGAGCACGACATTCAGATGGGGCTGAGCCGCGCCGGACACCCGGCGCTGGACATCACAAACTTTACGCCGGGCTGCAAGCCCGTTTCGGACGTCTCGGATACCAAGGCCGAGGTTCGTCTCTACCCTTGCGCTTCTTACCACGCTGAGACAGCTGTGGCCAGCGCCGCCAAGCCGGCGGTGCCCGAGGCTCGCCACCAAGGGGTCGCCTCGGAGACCGACGAGTCTCAGTCGGACACTGACTGCGACGCGCTCGATAGCGCCGAACTGTTCGAGCAGCAGGTGCGCAAGGCCATGAGCGCATACATTCCATCACGTCAATCGTCGTCGGGATCGGAAGACGAGGCCTAGGGAGTGTGTACTAGGTCAGTCAGCACAGCACAGATTATGCAGACAAACCACGATCATGACGAACGAGGAACTAAACCTCGCAGCGATCCTCCGTCACGGCGTGTCCGATTTCAGCAGCAAGCAAGCCGTAGCGAGCCACGAGATCAGCCATCAGCACGCAGTCATCAAACTACATCATCACCGCAGCCATCCGGCTCGAGTTCAACTGTGGCTCCACCAGCGAGTACGACGCGTGCCGTGGCAGATCCAGCCACCGCAGCTTTCTACGAACAAGCAGCCCGCGCTTATGCCCCCGCCGCACCAGCGATGTACGACATCTCCCAAGGAGACGAGCCCGGGGAGCAGCAACCAGAACTTGCCGACGACGAGTACTGCCCGTCCCCCGGCGATGTCCAGCACGCGGATGCAAGAGCTGCAGGCCGAGGTGGCAAGCTACGACTTGGATGTGCGCGACGCCACGTGCGACCAGCTCCGGGTGATCTTGCGCGCGCTGAGGGCCGAGGGCCGCGAGAGCACGCCGCAGGACAACTACATCCCGGGGCTCGGCAAGAAGAACAAGGAGGAGCTCCAGCAGCTGTGCCGGGACCGCAAGATCGAGTTCGACCAGCGCACGACCGTGCCGGAGCTCAGGCAGCGCCTCAAGGGCTGGAAGGTCGAGGACGCGGCCAGCAGTGCCTCGGCAACGGCGGCTCATCCGAGCTCACAGATCACCGGGGACGACAAGATACGCTTCGGCAAGTACCCCACGGCGGACTACCGCTGGGTGCTCAAGAACGACCTGGGCTACGCGCAGTGGGCGGTCCTGGAGCTCAACAGCAACCGGGCAAGCCCGCTCCTGGCGCGGTTTGCCAGGGTCAAGGCGCACGGAGTGCAGCCCCTCGCCCCGGAGAAAGCCAAGACCACCTCGGAGGCAGCGATGGCCGAGGAGGCGGTGCTGGACGACGAGTGGGCGGCGCCGGCGGCGACGACCACGAGGGCCTCAGCAAGCCAGGGGAGCTGGGCCGGGCATCGGCGCCAGCGTCCTCCGGAGCCGCGCGAGATGGACACCGGCGACATGGGCTTCGAGAAGGCGGGCGAGACTAACAGGGAGGATCACCCGAGTGGCTCCCGGGAACCTCCGCAGAGCCGAGACTAGGCGGCGGTGGCCGCCAGGACGGGTCGCCAGCCCCGAGGCGGCGGCCAGGCATCAAGAAGGGCAAGCGCGTCGGCCTCCTCTACCAGGTCACGGGCTTGCTGAGCGCCTTCGCCTTTCAGACGGTGCTCACCGCGGACTGGCTGGCTAGACCTCTCAAGCCAGCGGCGCAGCATGCTACCAGTGCTGCGCGAGACATGGTCGACCACGTCCAGAACGTCAAGGAGGCCTACAGCGTTCACAGCCACCGCGTGGACGTCATGCAGGTGTTCGGAGGCGAAGGCGGCATCGCCGAGGCGGCGTGGAAGCGCCAGATGACGGCCACAGAGGTGATCGACCGCAAGTACGGCTGGGACTTGCGCAAGCAGAAGGACCTCGACGCGATGTACGACCTGTACTACGCCTCGAGGCCGAAGTTCGTGTCAATCGAGCTACCCTGCACCCACTACACGAACATCACGCACCTCAACTTTCGGACGCCGCAGGCCGAGCAGGCGCTCCGGCGGATCTGGAGGGCGGAGCGGCCGTTCCTGTTATTGGCCCGCGACCTTTTCAAGTACCAGCTCGACTCTGGCGACATGGCCATGATCGAGAACCCGGCCACCAGCCGGCTCTGGACACAGCGCGCGATTTTGGAGCTACTGGCAGACGAGCGCGTGTACCAGGTGAGATGCGACATGTGCGAGTACGGGGCCCGACACTACAAGACGGGGGGACTCATCAAGCACCCCGCGACGCTGCTCGTTACCCATAAGGAGTTCGAGCAGCTGAAGCGCACCTGCAGCCACAGGCGCCACGACCAGACCTTCGGGGACAACGTGGCGGTGCGCAAGTCTGGCGCTTATCCTGCTAAGTTCTGCCGAGCGGTGGCACGCATCGTGGAGCAGGTTAATCGCCAGCAATGTGGGCAGCGCGCCTACCAGGTGGACTGCCAGACGCACTCGTCGCCCTTCATCGTGACAGTGCCCAGGGAGCAGGCCACCGGCTACGTGAACGACACCGCGCCCCTGGGAGAAGCGGGCGAGCCTGATGGGGACCCAGACCCCATGGGCGGCGGAGACGACTTCGCTGACACTCACGACGTGCGGGCCGAAGATACTGTGGACGGCAGGATCGGGGTCGGCGCGATTACCTTCACAAAGAAAGCAGCAGCCTGCTGCAAGCCAGCCGAGCTGGCCATGCTCAAGAGACTTCATGTCAACTTGGGCCATCCGTCTAATGAAGATTTGGGCCGCAGCTTGCGACTCCAAGGCGCTAAGTCGGCCACCGTCCAGGCCGTCAAAGGGCTGATCTGCGGGGTGTGCCGCTCGCAGCAGCGCCCGAGCGCGAGGAGACCAGCGCACCTCCACTTCGTGCAAGATTTTGGAGACGACGTCGGCTTCGACTGCTTCGAGCTCAAGGGCGTCGACGGCAAGAGCTACTGGTACTTCAGTATCGTCGACCTGGCCACCACCTTCCACGTCGCGACGCTGATCGGTCGCCACACCAGCCAGGAGTTCGCCGCCGCGTTCGAGAAGTGCTGGGCCTCCTGGGCGGGCGTAACGGACCGAATCCACTTCGACATGGAGAAGGGGTTCGGCGGCGCCCTCAGCGAGCTGTTCCAGTCATTCAACACGGTGCATCTGCCCATCGCCGGTCAGGCACATTGGCAGCTCGGTCGCGTGGAACACCAGGGAGCTCGGTGGAAGGAGCTCGCGGCGAGGACAATCGAGCACTCGTCGATCAGGGGCGAGGACGAGATGCGGACGCTGGCCATCATGGTAGCGGGCGCGAAGAACTCGCTGAGAAGGCGAGCAGGCTTCAGCCCCGCGCAGTGGGTGCTGGGACGCGACCCCAAGATGCCTGGAGACCTAGTCGGCGATACGGCCAACTACAGCGCCCACAGCCTCGCGGCCAACGACGAGAAGATTCGCCGACGATATGCTATTCGGACGGCGGCGCGCGAGTCGTTCATGAGGATGCAGAACGGCGACCAGCTCCGGCGAGCTATGTTGGCTCGCGCGCGCACGGTGGCGACGCCCTGGTCAGTGGGCGAGATGTGCTACGTCTTCCGCCAGGTCAAGAAGAAGGAGCAGCGGGAGCAGCACAACCGCAACGCCAAGAAGGGCATCTGGCGAGGGCCGTGCGTAGTCATCGGCCACCGAGGCGAGAACACCTGGGTCTCGCTAGGAGGGCACACCATGCCGGTGGCCCTGGAGCACATCAAGGCACTCGCTCCGGACGACGTCTGGTTCCCGAACGGCAGGGGCGAGATCGGTCAGGCCGTGGTCGAGCTCAACCGGGCTCGCGACTCGCTCGAACAGGAAGAGGCTCCGGTGGAGGACATCCGCCCGGCGCCTGGCGAGCCCGAGGTCAAGCCAGACGAGATGGAGCAGGCGTGGCGGGAATTTATCGACAACCCGGACGACAGCGACCTCAGGCTGAACGTCTCCGAGGATCCGCCCCAGCAGGAGCAGATCCCGGTGCTGCCCGCCGACGTGCCGCAGCAAGCTGAAGAAGAGCGAAACCACGGCCCTGCCGAGTTCCGACGACGTCGAGCTACCTTCGACGGAGGGGACAGCGGCGACTTCGGCCCGGCCTTCAAGCGCCTCCAGACCGAGAGGGAGCACGCAGGCCCCGGCGCCCTGCCCGCAAGGGCAACTTCGCGCGACCGCGCGGCGGCGCCGGATCAAGAGGCAGCAGCCGGACCCGAAGCAGAAGGAGCTCGCCAACGTTCGAGGTCGGCTCCAAGACAAGTGCTGCAAACCTCCATCGTGACCGAGAGGATCAAGCGCAAGCAGGCCGACAAGGAGATCCACTGGAGGGCCATCAAGGACTCCGATCGGGAGCTCTTCAGGGAGGCGGCCGCAAAGCAGTGGAGCGAGTGGCAGAAGCATGGCTCTTGTCAGGTACTCTCCATCGAGGAGTCCGAGGCGATCAGGGGCATGGTCAAGCCCAGCCTCATCCTGCCCAGCCGGTTTGTGTACCGGGACAAGAACGCCCCGCTGCGGACCGACAAGCATCCATTGCCGGTCAAGGCGAAGGCCCGACTCTGTGTCGGGGGTCACATGGACCCGCGCCTTGCTCAGGGCGACCTGCGGACGGACGCGCCCACGGTCACCCGCAACTCGACCATGCTGTTCTTCACCATCTGCCAGAGGTTCGACCTGGAGATCTACGCGGCGGACGTCGAGGCGGCTTTCATGCAAGGCGACGAGCAGCCCGACCAGCAGCTGTAAATGGCCCAGCCTCGCGAAGGTCTGCCTGGGCTTAACCCGAAGCAGCTGATCAAAATCCTCAAGGGAGTTTTCGGGCTGGCGACGGCACCGAGACAGTGGTGGGCGAAGCTCAAGAGGACCTTGCTCGCGGTGGAGGAGAAGCTGAGTGACAACTACGTGTTCCGCCTACACCAGCACTCGCTGGACCCAGCGCTGTACTACGGCTACGACCAGCACGGGGAGCTCTGTGCGGCGGTGGTCGCCCACGTGGACGACTTGCTGCTGGGGATCTCGCACAAGTACCCGGGCCTCTACGACAGGCTTCACAAGCTTTTGCCCTGGGGCGACTGGCGAGGCTTGCCTTTTACCTTTTGCGGCAAGCAGGCCTGGCGAGATCAAGAAGGAGTGCTACATCTACAGCAGACCGAGTACCCGAACACCATCGAGGAGACTCCGCTCAGCAAGGAGCGCAAGACGGAACTATCGTCAGATGCTACGCCAGCCGAGTTCTCGGACAACCGCTCCGCGCTCGGAGCGCTCGGGTGGCTTTCATCGCAGACCCGTCCCGACCTGGCAGCTGGAGTGGCCATGGGACAGCGAAGCCAGAACAAACCCACCATCCAGGACTTGCTCGAGGCGAACAGGCTCATCAAGCTGGCGCGGAAGCACGCGGACGTGGGTTTGGAGTTCCCTAAGTTACGCGGACCTCTGTGCCTGGTGACGCTCCACGACGCCAGCTGGGCCAACGCTGATGAGCCAGCTGATAGCGCCATCTTCAAGTTGCTCGCGAAGATCGTAGGAGCAACCAGTAAGGACAAGAAGATCAAGATTCGCTCGCAGGCCGGCTACGTGACTTTTCTCGCAGAAGCCAAGCTACTACGCGGAGATCGAGCTCGAGCAGGGATCGTTGATTGGAGATCGGGCACCATCAAGAGAGTTTGCAGATCTACGTTGGCAGCCGAGACGATGTCGGCAGTAGACGCTCTAGGCTGTGCTCAAAATACACGGTGTGTTTTCGCTTCGCCAGAGGACATCCCGCCGAGTCTGTTGCCGCTCGCTCAGGTCACAGATTGCGCCAGCTTGTACGATACGATGCATAAAGACGGTTATTCCAAGCTCCCGTCAGAGCGGCGCCTTTTGCTCGACCTAGTGGGCCTCAAGGAGTCACTAGAAGAGGAAGTTAGCAACGAGTTCGTCGCTGACGATCAGCGCAGCCAGCTACCTCTCTTTTGGGTTCCGACTGATCAACAGCTCGGTGATCAGTTCACCAAACGATCGGACGGCAGTGCCATCAGGGCAGTGCTGCGAGACACACGCCTCGCTTTGCAGCATCAAGAGCCGACTGACCAGGCAAGAGAGCACGAGGCACACCTGACCAGTGCCGGCTCACTTTTCAAGCGCGCGGTGCGCCTGGTCTCATTTTAGCTCGTTGACGTGCCAGTACCACGTCTAAATGCGCTATATCGGTAGATGCACAGATCAGAAGAATTTTGCACGAGTGTGAAACAAATAGTGACAATGCTGATCTGTGAGCAGTGTAGCATAGCATGCCAACAAGCAAGCAGAATGTGCTAATATTCAGACGGAAGGTGACATGTCCTGTCGTAACCATTTGGGCTCAATCCTTTTCAGGGCCCTTGAGTGTGGGCGTATCGGTAGGCACCTTTGCAAGTTCCGCTGAGCAACAAACCATCGCCTATCATTGCTGATACATTTACGTCATTGCTGACAACGACAACCTCGCGGTTATCATCGCACCTAGACCCCTCATCGCAATATCGGGTCTGCATCCTCCTCCTCCCCCTCCTCCTCCTCCTCCTCCTCCTCCTCCCCCTCCTCCACCTCCTCCTCCCCCTCCTCCACCTCCTCCTCCTACTCCTCGCTTTCCTCCATCTCCTCCTCCTCCTCCTCCTCCTCCTCCTACTCCTCCTCCTCCTCCTCCTCCTCCTCCTCCTCCTCCCCCTCGGGTGTGGACCGAACCCCTTGGCAGTGCTGCTCCCAGCTGACTGGCCCAACACAAAATTAGGAGGCAACGGGGAGGTCTTCATCGGAAGGAGCAAGGAGAATTAAGCCCCATTGGGTGGGACGCACAAAGGCATACTAGTACTACATTTCCTCCCTGGAGGCGCGCGTCCGATCCGAACATAGTATACCAACATTGTAGTGTATCGCTTCCCGAGAGGTGTGGCCAGAAAGCGCCCGCCACAATGCATGTACTATAAATTTCTCGGTGCGCGCGTCGCCCCTGGGAGGGGGACGACGCTTACATAGCATTAATCATTAATATGTTGGGGTGGCGCCGAAGTAAGGACGATTACGATCCATTGGGGGGCTGTTACGCCGGATACGGCCGCAGATTACGAGGGACTCAGCAAAATCAAGCGAGCCCGATGAAGCCGGATTTCGGACCAGGGCAAAGTCAGAACTTGACCTCCCAGGAGCTGCATCAGAAACAAGAGGCGAGCAAAGGGGAGAAGTGCGGAGGAGGAGGCCTCCTCGAAGGCGGCGGGGCTTGTCAGCAGCCCACGCTCCTCCTGAGAAGTTGTTTCGGTGTCTTCGCGGAGGGCTCAGGAAACTTCTCAGAAGGCCGGGGGACTTCGGAGATGTCTGAGAAGGCCCGCCCCTTCTCACTTCCCCCGCGGGCTCGCCGCGGGCAAAGAACTCCCTCTCGGGGCCTCTTCTCCCGCAGCTCTGTGCTCTCCGCCCGACCTTCAGACCTCCCGTGCATCCCTGCCTTTGCCGGCATCCTGACCTCTGGGGGGGCGGGCCCTGGGCTGGGCTGCCTGAAACCTCGACGTACACACGCGCTCTTCGGTCAGCTCCCTCATGGCATGCACGACATTGCTGCACCAAGTGCGCAATCTCTTCTGTACGTGCACACGCTCGCGAACCGGACTCAAATTGAATGCGTATGCGCAGTTGTTCATCAATATCGCGAGGATGTCGGGCTCGGTGCTCGGGTGCCACTCTGAGCATCCGAGGGAGCCAGAGGTCACATGCGAACCCTACCTAAGAGGCGAGGTGGGGCTCCATTCGCTCTGGAGGCCGCGAGCGAAATGGCTGATTTCGGAAGCCCTGAACCCAACAACGTTTTCATCTCTTGGGGCGCATTTGCGAATTCCGCCACCTTCCGCCGCCGTTCTGCCAGCTGGCTTCCACCGGCGGAGGCGGCCTCGCTTTACTTCCGCCGACCTTTGGCCACCCTTCCGCCGCCTTCCGCCGCGGAAGAGACAACCACTCGAAGGCGAAGCCCTTCTTGGAGCGTCTCAGATGAGCCCCACCCACCCCTCTCCTGGCAGTCTGGGCGTCGTAGTGGTGGTGGGGCAGGCTTCGCAGGCGGCCTCCTGGAGAGAGCCAAGGCCCTCCGCAGCATGCACGGCGCCCGCTGCCTGCAGCGAGCACCGCGCTGGCAGAGAGGCCAAACTCGAATTGATAAGCTGGGTCGGCAATCGAAATAAATCGGATCGGAGGAAATCGGCAGCCGAGTCGGGCAGGCTCGAATCGGCGGGAATCGGCAGGCCAGCAGGCCTCCGTTGTGACACCGGCGCCCAGATCGGAACCCCAAATCGGATCGAATCGGCGTCGGAGCCCGTCGAAATCGAATCGGCCATCGACTCGGAGGGCTCAGAAGGCGAGCACCGCGCGCCCCGGGCATGCCCTCGGCAGGCGTTATAAGAGAGCTGGCGCCGCCGGCAGGGGCCCCGGCCGCGGCTCCCCGCGGACCCGGACTTCGACGCCGACGGGTGGGAGGAGAAGAGCCGGAGACTGCACGAGCCCAAAAGACTTCCCGGGGCCCACGCGGACCTCCCGGATCGGCACTGGGCCCCCCCGGCAGCGCCAGGCGGAGGGGCCCAGGGACGATGCAAGAAGTCAGCGCGGACCTCCGAATGCTTCTGCTCGTGCACGCGTGCTCTCCTTCGAGGCGAGGGGGGAGGGGGAGGGGGGCGTGGGCCGCGGAAAACTCGGGAACGGAGTCGCAGAGCTTCAGCTCGCCACACTGCGCTTCACCATGTGCGCTTCACCATGAGCTGCACCTTCCCCCTCGACTGCGCGAGCTCTGTCAGCAGGGATGCGCACGTGCCCCGCTTCCCGTTGACCTCAACGAGCTGATCTCGAAGCCTGACCTGCTGCATGGGGTTGTGTGCGTTCCACAGGTCTATGAGACCTCCCTTCGCAATACTTCTGACAAAAAGGGAGTCCCCCCTGCTCCAGTCTGGGACGAGGGCAATACCGACGTTGCCGGTATTCTTGTCGACCTCCAACCTGATACCAGGGATCTCCTTGTCCACTGGAGTGATGCAAATGCTCAGCTTGGCCTCATTTGAAGATTCACCGTCTGGATCGCCCAGACACAGATCTCCAACAAAACCGTGGGGGAGAATATCGCCATGCTTAAGCGCATACTGTCCAAATAAAAATTGGTCGCTCTCAACACGGAATAAAAGTTCATCGTCCTTCTCAAAGTCGCTGACTTCGAATGTCTGCCTCCATTCTGGGTTCAACGTGCTAAGTTTAGGCAGAGTCTTCACTTCGGTGTGTGGTTTGCCAGATACAATGCAGACGCAGTAAGGGTCATTTGCGTACACAAAACCACCTGACAGATTGTCTGCGCTGATAATGGCCACCTGCAAACACGCGGTGGATGAGATGAACGTATCGGGGTGTGTACTACGCTGCCGGGGTTTGACAGGGGCGTCCCCGTCATGCTCGGGAAATTTCAAGTCGCTCGGAAACGCATGGTAGTATTCAAGCTTGGTGGGAGGATTACCTAGTTGGCTTTCATAATCGGTTGCTACACCATCGTCACTGGTACAAGTTTCCCAGTCAAAGAGTGGTGGAGCTCGGCATTCCCGAAGAGCACCATCTCGCTTGTAGAGGTGGCTTCTCTGGCTTGTCGAGGCAGATGTCGTGATCACCCAGCGTTCTAGCTTGTCGCGTGAGACTCTGCGAATGTAGATGCTGCCGAGCTCGCCAGACTCCTTCACGAACACCTCTGCGCCGGCAAACGACGGCGCCAAGAC